GATAAGAGATACAAAATATAGAATAAAGTTCTATGTAATGTTTAAACAGTTGCAAATTTAAAGCTAAGTAAATTATTCTTATATTGTGGTGTCAAATTATACATAAAAATGTTATTTAGATATTTAATAATGCAACAGAACAAAATATGCATTTCAGTTAATATTGAAGTTTTGTACATTGCATATTTCAAAAGATAAAGAAATCAAACCTAGACAAAAATCTACCATATAATAATAGGCTTTGATTTCCACAACCAAACATTCTTTTCAAAAAAAAAAAAAACTAATCACACTCGGGACCTAGAAGAAACATGTTAAGATGAGGGGGCCTTCGTGACTCTGAGACCTCTGACCTAGCCCCCTCATCTAAGCCCTCAATTTTATCATCTCCTTCCACATCTCTCTCTACTCTCTCAAAATCTCAAACAATATCTGCCTATCAATCTTGGGGTCAATGTCCTTATCAATCAGTAAATCCAAGTCCTCCTTCAAGCTGAGGAACTAATCCTATGCTTCTCTCCTGGTGCCATATCCTTAGGTGCAGCCTCCCCCTACTACTCGACCGCCTACTTTCTCTCTCATGCCGCCCTAGCCACACTCTGACTCTTTAAAAGAGAGTCAGAGTTCAGAATAACTACCTTCTTAGCCCTATCCATGGTGGCGTCAATCAACACCCCGACTTGCTCGCAAAGTGCTGTGGCCAGACCTACAAAAGGGAGGGACTGCTTCTTCGGGTCCACAATAGCTCGTCACATCTCGGTGAATATCAGTGAGGGGAGGTCGATGGTCTTCTCGGTACCCAGGGCGTACAAAAGACGGGCTCGGTTAAGATAGATATGATTATTTCTCAACAAGGGGTAAATATTAGAGACTAAAATCAAATTGAGTATCTTATATTTATTTGTCAAATCTACCTACTAAAGAAACCTAAGGTTTGCAGTCCAAACAAAATTTTCATCCCCCAAAAGCTCCTATCCAACTATATCTCCTGAGTAATTTTGGGGGTAGTCAGGTTTGGCAACTCGGGCCTAGAGCATCCCTATCAACCGAGCAATGGCTGTGGCGTCCACTCTAATGTTTTTACCTCGAACGTAGGTACGTATAATACCGTTCCCATAGTCATCAACATTGCTATAAAACTCTCTAGCTAAAATAGGTATGCACGACCACTCTCTACCCATGAAACTAGCCCACCGCCTAGAAGTAATGATATCTCAGACTTCTAACCAGGTGAAGTCCTCATACTTTATTTGGTCTCTCTTGCACATAAGGCTTGGTGGCGTAGTATTGAAAGAATCTTGCCTGGGCCTCTAGTGTCTTAAAACAAAGGGGGTCAAAAGTGGTATCTTCATCTTGTTGAGGCTCATGGGTGCTACTCCGAGGCCTCTTAGATGTTTATGCTTGTGGTGGTGCCATGGGATAAGAGCAATGAAGAAGATGGGCATGAAGTAGGCGGGAAAAGTTTGTAATGTAGTTGAAGAGAATATGGAAAAAAAAAAATTCATTAAGGCTCTGTATATTTATAAATTTCCACATGTGTCCGGACGCATGGGGTTCAACCATCAGGATGCGTCTCAACTACCATTTTAATTGGCCTCAAAGAGCACGCATCTGAACGCATGATCATGTCACGTTCGAACACGCCTCCTAAATTTGAAACGTTTGGACTTCGTGTCTGGAAGCGCGATAAAATTACGTCCGGACGCGTGTTCTAGTGATTGTAGATCCTAAGCCCTCGTCTGGACGCAAGTTTCAGTATGTTTTAATCTGTACCATGCGCGTCCGAACGTGAGATCTAGTGAGCTGCTTCTCCATACTTAGAAAATTGTTTCAAATTTCACCTTTTTCCTCCTAAATTGACACATCTAGATCCTAAAAGTTCCTAAAAACCTAAAAATTTTAAAACACAATTTTTTTTTAGATGCATATGCATAGTTTATGATCAATAAATCAAGCATGCTCACCCCCCATTCAAAACTGTACATTGTCCCAAATGTATTGATAAACAACATAAGAATATATAAGAGTAAAAAAAGACATACCGGGTGCGTTTGTATTGTGCATTACTCCAAGATGTTCCTATCTAAGGGAAAATAAGGGGTGTATTTCTACAACTCAAACATACAAGGTACCCAACCTAGCTTAAATTGAGTTCAAGTGACTTAACAGTAGCATATGAGAGCTTTTTAGCTCTAACCTAGCTCAGATTGAGTCCAAGTGGCTGAACAGTAGCATATGAGAGCTTTTTAGCTCCAAACTTAGCTTGGATTAAGTCCAAGTGACTCAACAAAAGCATATGAGAGCTTTTCAGCTCCAACCTAGCTTGGATTGAGTCCAAGTGGCTCAACAGTAACATATGAGAGCTTTTTAGCTCCAAACCTAGCTTGGATTGAGTCCAAGTGGCTCAACAATAGTATATGAGAGCTTTTTAGCACCAAACTTAGCTCGAATTGAGTCCAAGTGACTCAACAATAGCATATGAGAGCTTCTCAACTCCAACCTGGCCTGGATTGAGTCCAAGTGGCTCAATTGTAGCATATGAGAGCTCAATAGTAGGATATGAGAGATTTTTAGCTCCAAACTTACCTCGAATTAAGTCCAAGTGGCTTAATAGTAGCATTAGCTTTTCAAATCCAACCTAGCTTGGATTGAGTCCAACTAGCTCAATAATAGCATATGAGAGCTCTTTAGCTCCTAACTTAGATCGGATTGAGTCATAGTGTTAGGCACCATGAGGGTAGCCCAATCGGGATTGTCCAGACCAGTAAGGGCTCATTTTTTGAAGCAAGAAATTTGAGTTTCTTGTAAAGTGGCATCCATGGCAGTAAAGTAAAGAAGAAAGGGTGAGTTTATAGTAATGCATGAGTTCAGGAATGGTAGGCTGTATACCAATGCCATTGGCCTTAGCCCAAATGACACCCATGCCGACCAAGAATCACCAACTATTTGGGGTCAATTGAGCAAGAGAAAGATTCAAGAATAGAGGGTTTCCCTAATATACTTGGGAATTATAAAATGAAGTACAACCTCAAAGATAGACTTATAGAAGCATACTTCATTGGTTCCAAAAGAATTAGAGGAAGGAACCCTAAGGTGAACAAAGTTGGGAATCTAGCACAAAACCCTAATTTCTTGAAGGGCGTCCTCATTGAGGCAACTACGGTAATTCTTGGCTTCAATAATCTTGAGAGATGAAGAGCAATCTCCAAAATGGAGTCAGAGTCCTTGTTGGTCGTATCGGCCTGGGACATTAATGCCAGAGTACTCTCAAAGGTGTATGCTCAGAATTGATCACCATGATAGGAAAGTTGTGGTGATTAATGTATAAATTTGGGTGGGATGGGATGAGTGGGGCTATTAACAATCAAGGAAAGACAGAAATCAAGCACATATTCAAGCCGAGCTCGAATAAACCTATACACAAAGGATTCAACATGATCAAGATTGAAGTTCTTCCACTGAAGAAAGCAAAAACGATAACAATTAAACTGAAAGGTATGACACCAACCTATATGCTCCAGAATGAGGACTTATAATGAAACAAAAAGACGAAAAAAGATAAAGTTGAAAAGGAAGGGCGTATTAGGCTTCTTAGAGCTCTCTAAGACGTATTGGGTAGTAACGCGGAAGAAGGTTTTATACACAAGTCCCACAATGACTCTCGGACAGTTGCGTGTACACGATTTCCGTTCCCACTTTCCCAGGTGCTAACGGATAAATGCATTAAATTCATGGCCTGGATCGCCAGTATCCTAGCTCAGCAGCTCCTTAGCTCCGCACGCTTTGACTAATTCAAACCAGTTGAAATATCCATGATAAAGGGTGCCATCTTTTGTTCCACTTATGGTGCTGCCTCATTCAAATAACAGTTGAGGATTTTCCAACGGTTTAATCTTTTGACCTATAAAAAGGTCAAGTTGGGCATCATCTATGTAAGTTGACTACTCCCCGCCAAATATAGTTTTCATCAATCATGCTTTTCTAAAAATCATCAGAGGATCGACCATTGGAGTCCTTCCGATCCTCGACTTCTCTTGCAGGAACACCTCAACTAGTTGCCAAGTCATAATTCCAATCAACTATCACGATGAACAGTTTTTGGGATCAACACATACCATTACATGCATGACACAATATCAGGAATGGAGTGAGAAAGGTAAGAACTAGAAGTGGAGTCAATGTAATTTACCCAAAAAGAAATTATGCAACACTTCAAGATAATAATGATCTCATACTTCGTTTGAAAGAATTTACTCACACTTTTAACTTCCCATGCCAGACACCTAAGCTATAAGGTAGTGCTTACATATATACACAACCCTGACACCTAAATCCACACCAGAGAAAAACGTTGGTTACTTCGTCATAGACTCAGCATACTTCATTGGTTGTATGTTTCAGTCTAAGTTGGCGATTTGCAAATTACGTAGTTTAGATTGTAAATCTATCCTTTGTCTTTCTCCAGAACTTTATAATTATGCTTTCTGTTAGACTGAAGCTTACGAATAGCTTAAGAACATCCATTTGTTTCAAAAGTGACGGGCTCAGGCTTTTTTCAGGGACAGATTGATCGTTTTTGTATGCTAATGTTCTCAACAGATTATTGTTATTAAAATATATTAATTTATGAGCAAAAAAAACTGTTATTCATACGAGGAAATTAGATTTTTTTTAGTGGAATTTAGTTTAGGGAATAAGCAAGTATTTTTGTTTTCTTTCAAGTTAGAATATAACATTATGCTATTCTGGCTCTGTTACGTAAAACTCACATCATTTAGTAAAAAACATGTTACAGATGCATATTAAATCACTCCAATCCTAACTAATAAAAATATAATAGAAAAATTACAAATCAAATTTAGTAACGCACGTATATACTAACTAGTACTGAAAATAGGAATAGATAATATTAGCTTCATTATTAAACCAGAGATTTCTTCCACATACAGCTAGAGAGACCAGTCCCAACCAAAAACTGATGTTGAAGTTACCCAATTGACTCAAGCACCTTTCTGTGGCAATGTTTCGAAAGCAGAGACAGTGTTTTCAAACTTGATCCGATGCAGAGGAGCACCACTTTGCTTGATGGCACATGCCTGTTTGTCTTCTAATGGACAACGTGCTTTCAGCATGGAGAACACGTGATTGTTCAACCTCCTTGCTTTCTTCATAGCTTCCAATAGGGCATCCCACTCCTAATTTAGGAAGTAGAACCCGAGTCAGAAATAAAATACACAAGCAAATGGCAGAACAAGCTTAAACAATTTCACTTAACTAGATTTGGCCCAAGTAGTTTTCAGAGAACTCTGCTATTCATGTTCAGAGTGCAAGCGACTTGGCAAGCAATTGACAAAAGTTTCTCATTCAATAGCCAATGACAAATGACTAACTGGAGACTTAGAGTTAGATTTTAGAGCCGTTAGTGTCTTTTAGAAGAGAAGGGGGAAAGAGAAGAATATGGGAAGAGAGTAATGCGTTAGATTACAACTTGTTTATATATAATCACAATCATTATGGAGGCAGATACGTAGTTTCTGTTTAACCCCCAATTTTTTGTGGCACGGCCCAATATACCTCAGCCCTCTCATGGAAGGGTGGAGGTAGCAGGATTTGGATGAGATTTGTGTAGCACTTGAAAACATAGAAGGTCAAGCAATAATTAGCTAAATGAAAAAACTACAGGTGCAACATGAGCAGGTTGAGGAGTCCAACCTAGCTCAACCCACGATATAAAACACTCAATGTGAACCCTGCCTCAAAACCGAGCTCTTCAACTAGAGCACTACCCACACTTATATTTTGAGCTCAGGTTAAACTATTTGGGTTGAAATTCAGGCTATGCTATTCTACAAACTACAAGAACATGAAATTGTCACAGATTAATTGGGTTGGTATTATTTCCACTGTCCATATTGGACTTATACTAGCATTGTTACTATCATATCTTAGACATATTGAAGGTACACAAATTAGTCCACTGCTGAAGAAAACAAAATAACACCATAGTTCTACAAGAAGAGGTCTTCCAGGAGATAAAATAAGCAACACAAACTCACCTTTTCCTAGTTTAAATGAATGAGATTTTAAAATGATTTCAAACGTGGAGTTGAGGGGACTGTGCATGCGTGAAATTAAGAGAGAAAGAGAGATTTTGGGATGAGAGTGTGACGGCAAGACATTAGATGGGCGAAAGTCTGAAACTCTTGATATCAAGATGAGAGAGAGCGCTTTGGACTGAGATGAAAGAGAGTGCTTTGGAGTTTGGACTGAGATGAAAGAGAGGGAGAGGTGCCGAGAGAAGATAGAGGCTGAAAAAATAGTGTCCCAAGTCCTAACCAAATAACATTGCCTTTCTTTTCCATAAAAATATTTTTGGTCGTTTTGTCAGGAGTGTTCATATCAGAACACAAAAGATATAGGTGTTAGATTATATTACTGCAACGTGAAGGAGCCTTTGTGCAATTAGTCGAGGGTTCTGTCTGTTGGAACACAGAAACCAGGGGCTTTCAAAATCAGGGGCAGCATGTACCATCATAAAAACTTGAGAGGAGCTTTGTTTGTGGGCCAAAATTTGCAGGACATCAAGAGCTCCCTAATCTGGCACCGGTCCGCATAATTAATTATGCAGACTATTATTATACTAAGAATAAACTGTAATAAAAGGAGCCATTTCAGAATTTGATAATAGTACTCATCCTTGGCAGGAATTTAGTAGCACTGCTATCCATTTCAGACAATGTTCCCAACACTGAAATGGTATTCCATTCCACTAGAACTAAATGGGTCTTGGAAAACACCAAGGCAAGAAAACAAATCACCTAATATATGGGAATGATTAGTGTTTGATCAAATTAAATAGGGTCATAAGAATGAAATACAAGAGCAGATATTATTTTCGGCTTACTTCAAAGTGCAAATGATATACATTTCAGAAAAAAAAAGAAAAGAACGCAGTACAGGAACGTATAAGAAGTCGAGTATCACATATGACAATATAAGAAGTCGAGTATCACATATGACAATATAGCAGCGATAAATTCTAGTGATGGACATAAGATAAAATGTTCATACCGGGACAAAGTGAGGATTCTTCTGGTTTGGTGTGATTGCTGCAGCCTCTACTTCTGCAACATTTAGGACTTGATAGGAAAAATCGAAGAGCTCAAAGTGCAGTTGTTGACCAAGCAAGTAAATTATGGTACAACCACCCCAGGTAACTGAATCACCCAGTACTTCATGATTGCCAGGTGGCACCTGACCGGATTCCTCCATATATTCCTGAATTTAAGGGCTTAATTATTATAGCAGCAGCATGAAGATATGTATTACCTTGTCAATTACTAAAGACGAAAAACAATTAAAAAACTAATTAATCAGTGAAGGATTTGTAAATAGTAGAAGAAATGTTCGACATTCGTCCCCTACTAAAAGTCCTATTCTGAAAATGAACTCACTAGAGAGAGAGAGCAATTGATGCCTTCATATTCTACAATAAAAATAAGAAATTTTAATAGGGTTAAATACAAATTACAACCCTTTCAACTTATGTTCATACTGTAATCTATAGAGAGAGCTCCGATCTCACATCGAATAATTAGGGATACACAAGATTATGTTATATGGTAAAGTGATCTCGGTACTAAGTTTTGGGTTGGATGCTTCTAACATGATATCAGAATTGGATTGTGAGTGGCCAGTGACCCAAGATTCTTACGCATTTGAATTTGCAGACATGCATGTTTTTTTAGTTACTAGTTAGCCCCACGGTCGTGTTGCAATCTGACTTGCAAGATGGTGTAAAGAGATCCTGTAACCCACATTTAATGATTAATGACACCCAAGTTTGGCGTATAAATTTATATGTTTAAATGGCCTCTCCAGTCATTGCAATTGATTTCGGGTAGGATGCCTCTAACATACTAACTCCTTCAAGTTTGGATTTTGAAAAATCGCCTCCAATACTTTGAACATTGCCTCAATTAACTCTCGTCACTAACTCGAGTCTCAATCAATCATGAACAAAACAAACTCCTCCATAGGTATCACACCTCTACCTCTTTTGGCTGCATCTCCACTGATTTTTGATGATGTAGATCCTCTCTCTTCTTGCTATCCTAAGCGCATTCGTAAGTGTCCTGATCGCCTTGGTTTTTCTCATACTTGTTATTCGTCTGATTTTTGTTCATTTTTATCTTCTATTCACTCTTTTTTTGAGCCTATCTCCTACAAGGAGGCTGCTCTTGATCTTATTTGGCAACAAGTTATGAATGAAAAAATTTCTGTGCTACATAAAACTAGGACATAGGATCTTATGCCTTTACCTACTGGTAAATGTGTTTTTAGTTGTTGATGGGTATATAAGATTAAAACTAAGGATGATGGTTATGTTAAGAGATATAAGGCCAAATTGGTTGCCAAGGTTTTGCACAGAAATATAGCATTAATTATGAGGAAACATTTGCTCTTGTTGCAAAGATGACTATAATTCGTACATTGATTGTTGTAGCAGCTATTCGCCAATGAAAACTATCTCAAATGGATTTCAAAAATGCTTTTATGAAGGGTAATTTCCCTAAAAAAGTTTTTATTGTTCCTCCCCCTAGTCTCCCTCATGCTTCTGGTGAGGTATGCAAACTCAAAAAAGTTTTGTATGGTCTCAAATAGGGTCCTCAGGCATGGTTTGAAAAGCTTTCTTTTGTGATATGCAACTAAGGTTTCTGTTCCAGTGATCATGATTCTGTTCTTTTTCTTTGTTCTATTTCTGGTCTGATTATTCTTCTCTTATATGTTGATATTCTCAAGATGATTATGAGGGTATCTCAGTTTTGAAAGTGCATTTACAACAACAATTTGAGATGAAAGATCTTGATTTCCTTCGCTATTTTCTAGGCATGGAAGTGGCTTTGTCTTCCAAGAATTATCTTCTATCTTAGTCAAAGTATGCAGCTGATGTTATTCGCTGGGTTTGATTAACAGATTTTTGGACTATTAAGACTTCCCTTGAGCTTAATGTAAATTACACTCTTCAGTTAGGGTTCCTTTGGCTGATCTTACTTTGTATCAGGTTCTTGTTGGTAGTTTGGTTTATCTTACTGTTACACGACCTGCTATTGCTTATGTTGTTCATGTTATAAGTCAGATTGTCTCTTCTCCAACTACAGTTCACTTGGCTACAGTACTTTGTATTTTGCGCTTTATGTCAGAGTTTGTTGTTCTGTTACACTTCTTCTTTGGAGCTTCGTGCCTTTTTAGATGCTGGGCAGGAGATGTCATGGATCACAAATCCACAACTGGTTTATGTGTCTTTTTAGGTGATTCCCTAATTCCTGAGGGAGCAAGAAACAAACTATTGACGCTCATTCCACTGCTGAGGCTAAATATCATGCAACGGCTGCTACTATGTCAGAAATAGTTTAGTTGAGATCGTGACTTGGTGATCTAGGAGTTTCTTTTTGTGCTCCTACTACAATGTATTGTGACAACAAGAATGCCATCCAGATTGCACATAATTCTATTTTATACGAGCGAACCAAGCATATCGAAATCAATTGTCATTTTGTGCACCATTATCTTCAACTTGAGACTATTTTCTTAACTTTTGTTTCTTCTACCATGCAATTGGCTAATTTTTTTTACCAAATCTCACACTATGTTGCGTTTTTGTTTTTTTCTAGACAAACTCTCAATACTTCTTACTGTCATATCATGAGTTTGAATAGGGTGTTAAAATTGTATTTATATTTATGTTTATTTATCATTAAGGGTACTTTAGTCTTTCTCTTGTGCTAGGGTTTTATATAGTGTCTCTTGTATCTAATTTCATTATTATGATGGATATTAGAGTTTAGCAGCTTGGTTCTTCTCTTTACACATGTTCTTTTCTTGACATGATTTGATCAAAATTTACAAGCGTGACTTTATTTTTACACAAATTTCAGCATGACTTTAAGAAACCTATCAAACCAAGCTTTAGGAGACTATTGCAATCTATCAATAGACTTATTCTGTAAAATCTAAAAAAAAATTAATTATTAATATCCTAATTAAATGGGTAAAATAATAATTAATTGTTAAAAGCACGGGTCAAAAACGTGAATTTTTATAAAATTCAGATGACGAAACAGACCTCACTGTTGGATTTGTCTCGCGAAATCTAGTTATCCAGTAAATTTAAAATTCTGAAACAGTTGAATTTTTCACGTTTTACAAAACGATAGGGTGTCGTGTGACTAAAATAATTTTGATAAGATTTTATTCACAGAACCCGAAAAATAATTTAAAGTTAGTTCAATAAAAATATACTAAACTTAATACGAGACGAAATTTAATTGATTCGAGATAAAATTGGACCCGTTAAAATTGAACGTGTCCAATTTTATTTATATTTATGTTTATTTATCATTAGGGATACTTTAGTCTTTCTCTTGTACTAGGGTTTTATAAAGTGTCTCTTGTATCTAATTTCGTTATTATGATGGATATTAGAGTTTAGCAGCTTGGTTCTTCTCTTTCTTCTCTTTACACATGTTCTTTTCTTGACATGATTTGATCAAAATTTACAAGCGTGACTTAATTTTTACACAAATTTCAGCATGACTTTAAGAAACCTATCAAACTAAGCTTTAGGAGACTATTTCAGTCTATAAATTGACTTATTCTGTAAAGCCGAAAAAAAATTAATTATTAAATCCTAATTAAATGGGTATAATAATAATTAATTGTTAAAAACACAGGTCAAAAACGTGAATTTTTATAAAATTTAGATGACGAAACAGACCTTACCGTTGGATTCGTCTCGCGAAATCTAACTACCTAGTAAATTTAAAATTCTGAGATAGTTAAATTTCTCACGTGTTACAAAGCGATCGGGTGTCACGTAACTAAAATAATTTTGATCAGATTTTATTCACAGGACCAAAAAAAAAATTTAAAGTTAGTTCAATAAAAATATACTAAACTTAATACGAGACGAAATTTAATTGATTCGAGATAAAATTGGACCTGTTAAAATTGAACATGTGGCGCGATGTGGGCCAAGAAGTTAAAAGTATATAGAGAAAAGGGAAAAGGGAGAAACGGAAAAGAAAAAGGAAAAAAGTTAGATTCTTGATCTTCTTCCTCAGATCTACGAAGATGAAATTGTTTAATCGCTTCGGGCCAAGAATTAAAATTATTTTACGCAACGAGAACTACACAACCACATCAAAGATCGCATTTTTCTCCAAAAATATCAAAGATGAGAATCTAGGCCTAAGGTTTGAGAAGGTAAATTCGGACTTTTGTTAGAGTTTACTACGTGGGCTCACACTACAAGAGGTAGAGCTTTTTCTATTTAGATGTAATTTCAATATAAAATATGACATATAAAATGGGTAGGCTAAGAGTGTATATCACATGTTAGGTTTTGACTAATGTAACTAGTGGGTCAAATATAGGATTTATAATTAACCTTGTAATTAGTAAAATCATATTATAATTAACTTGATGTAAGTTAATATTAGTGGTTTAAAACATATTAATTTTACATTAGCATGAATTGATGTTTTAATGGCATATCAAGTTTAATAAAATTATTAGCTTGTTATGTGATTATAAAATAATATGTATGTTAAATGATTATTTAGCATATGATTAGTGTGTCGGACTTGTGCTTATGTTTTTATAATTAATAAAATGTTGCCTTGTTGAAAGTAATAAGCATGCTAGTTGTAATACCCCATTTCATTTTGACAAGGAACAAGTTAGTGAATATTATCTTAGAAAGAATAAGAAAAAAATTTAAAGAAGAATTTAGAATAATTTAGAAGAATCTAGAATGTTGGAGAAGTTTCTAGAAAGTTCAAGAATATCCTAAAATAGTCTAGAACAATCTAGAATGTTGAAGAAAGATCTAGAAGGTTCTAGAACATCGAGGAACCTAGAGCATTCCAGAAGAGTTTGGAAGGTTTTAGAGAGATAAAGAGTACTCAACAATGTCCTAGATTAGTATGGAAACTTCTAGAGATGTGGAGGATTGACCATTGTATAAATATCTACAATTAGAACCTAGAAAGTTCCAAGTAAGAAGTCCCCACACCAAGGAAATAATGACACATCGACATTCTAGAATATTCCTAGGAGTTCTGAAGGCCTATAAATAGGGGACTTGGTTATTGAATTAGGAGGAAAACGCATTAGTGACCTCCCACTAAAGAGAGAGAGAGATAGAGATAGAGATAGAGAGAGAAGGAAGGTTGGATACTTCATATAAGAAGAAATGAAACCGTGGAAGA